GGCTGGGGGAGATGGGGTGGATACAGGAGAGATGGGATGGGGCTGGGGGAGATGGGGTGGGCACAGGAGAGAGGGGATGGGGCTGGGGGAGATGGGGTGGGTACAGGAGCAACGGAACTGGAATGGGAATGGGGCTGGAGGTGAAGGGATGGAGAGAGGAGTGATGGGATGGGGCTGGAGGCAATGGGACAGGACTGGGGGCATTGGGATGGGGCTGGAAATGAGGCTGGGAGCAATGGGATGGGGCTGGGGGCATTGAGATGGGAATGGGAGTGATGGAAGTGGACTGGGAATGGGGCTGATGGCATTGGGATGGGGACAGGGACACTGGGATGAGGTTGATGGCACTGGGATCGGGCTGGTGGTGCTGGTGTGGGGGCTGATGGCGTTGGGATGGGGGCGCAGGGATGAGACTGATGGCACTGGGATGGAACTGGTGGTACTGGTGTGGGGATGGGGGCACTGGGATGGGGCTGATGGCATTGGGATGGGGACAGGGACGCTGGGATGGGGCTGATGGCATTGGCATCTAGTGGTACTGGTATGGCACCAATGGGATTGGGATGGGATTGGTCACCCAGGATAGGGGGGGGAGCTCTGGGCTGGGGCCGATGGCGGCGGTCTGAAGGTGGGTGACAACAGCACGGGACTGGGACTGGTGGGAGGGGGCCGATGGCAATGGGATGGGGGTAGGCAGCATCAGAATGGAGCCGGTGCCACTGGGACAGAGATGGGTGCAGGGTGCCAGGCTCAGCTCCTCTCGCCCCACAGTTACTACGGGCTGACGGTGTGGTTCCCAGACATGATCAAGCACCTGCAGAACATCGAGTACGCGTCACGCACCAAGCTCTTCACCCGCGAGAAGGTCCGGCACTTCACCTTCAACTTCACCCTGGAGAACCAGATCCACCAGGGCGGGGAGTACTTCAATGACAAGTGGGTGGTGGGGGCAGTGGGACGGGGCTGGGAGCGCTGCGATGGGGCTGGGGGCGCTGCGATGGGAACAGGAGCAATGAGATGGGGGCTGGGGGCATTGGAACAGAGCTGGGGGCGTTGGGATGGGGCTGTGGGGGCATTGGGGCAGGGCTGGAGGCATTGGGATGGGGATGGGGCCTCTGGGAGGGTGCTGGGGGCATTGCAATGAGGGTAGAAGCATTAGGACAGGGCTGGGGGCGTTGGGATGGGGCTGGAAGCATTGGGATGGGATTGGGGACATTGGGGCAGGGCTGGGGGCGTTGGGATGGGAATGGGGCCTCGGGGATGGCGCTGGGGGCACTGCAATGAGGGTAGAGGCATTAGGACTGGGCTGGGGCTTTGGGATGGGGCTGGAAGCATTGGGACAGAATTGGGGACATTGGGGCAGGGCTGGGGGGCATTGGGATGGGTTGGGGACTTTGGGATGGTGCTGGGGGCATTGCAATGAGGGTAGAGGCATTGGGACGGGGCTGGGGGCTTTGGGATGGGGCTGGAGGCACTGGGGTGGAAACAGGAGCAGTGAGATGAGGCTGGGTGCACTGCGATGGGGGCGTTGGGATGGGGTCGGTGGCAGCCATACAGGGTCTGTGGCACTGGGACGGGGCTGGGAGCACTGGGATGGAAACAGGAGCAATGGGACGATGGTGGGGGTGTCAGGATGGAGCCGATGGTAGCAGTATGGGGTGAGTGGCACCGGGACAGGGCTGGTGGCGTTGGGTCGGGGGTGGTGGTGCCCACATGGGGCTGATGGCTGTGTCCCCCCCTTCCCCCCCCCCAGGTTCATTGGGCTGAAGATGAAGTCGGTGACGTTCGAGGACTCGCTGTTTGAGGATTGCTACTTCGAGGACATCACCTCCAGCAACACCTTCTTCAAGAACTGCACCTTCATCTCCACCATCTTCTACAACACAGGTTTGGGTCGAGGGGAGCGGAAGCGAGGTGGGAGAGGGGCAGATGGGAGCAGGGAGGGCAGCCTCCAAAGCCCCCCCCCTCCGCCTGCCTCCCCCCAGACCTCTTCGAGTACAAGTTCATCAACAGCCGCCTGCTGAACAGCACCTTCCTGCACAACAAGGAGGGCTGCCAGCTGGACTTCAGCGACGACAACAACGCCTACATGATCTACTTTGTCAGCTTCCTGGGCACCCTGGCCGTGCTGCCCG